AGTTTGTTCCCGAATAAAACAAATATTGCATTGTTTCACATGTGATTGTAGTACTTTTTCCCCCAGCATCAGAGATTTTGTCACCAATTTCAGTATATTTTTTCACTTGTGATTTAGTACTAACTTCCCCCTATTTAAGTACTATTTTTTCCAATTTCAGTTTTTTTTACCTCAATTATAAAGGCTATCCACATGCTCATATTGTTTGCTAGCCTGCTCAAAATCACAATGAATCACAATAATGTAGATAATACATTGATTTCTTGTAGCACACGGAAAATGTAGGTCATAGTCCATAACAAAGTACAAGTTATGACAAACGTTTTTCAACAACGTAAAAATGTGAAAAGCCACTTCACGCAACCCTCTCAACCTTACATCTCACCGAGGTTGTGTTCTCCTATACTCTTGCCAGCTTCACTCCACCCAATTGAACTTATCGTTCACATGTTCTTGCATGTCCAAGATCTCCCTGTTACATTTGTCTTTGAGGAATGTACCGCCCAGAAGTACAAATCTGTTTGTTTTTCCAATCGACCTGTTGACAATAACTCCCGCAGGCATGTCTTTGGGTCAGAAACAATGGTCCAATTAAATTGCCAATTTTTGCAGCAACCTTCTCATTAGTTGTGGTCGCACGATCCACTGAGTACAACACGTCCCGAGCCGAAAGCTTATTCTTCGTCTGCTTTTCTCGATCCTTGACTGCCTTTCGTTTATCCCCATTGTGTGAGTCGGACACATCCATGCGTGCTACAGCCTGTTCGGGTTCTACGCCCTTTTCACTGGGGCTGCTGCTCTCCACATCGACCGGGATCTCGTCACGGTGATCTTCATGACCACTGTCTTCAAACATTGTAAAGCCTGTGCGACATAGCTTCGATGGTGTCACTGCGTACTTATCGTAGTTAAAAACGTCCCCGAATAACGCCTTATGTCGGTACACTTCCCGACAATCTTTGTCCTCGAACTCTTTATAGTCATTATTCTCCTGTGTAAGTATGAAGAGTAATCAATTTATGCAATAAAAATACATCGCAGACACAATATCCTGCTCCAATATAAAGGATAACAAATGAACATGTACAAGAAACAACAGTGAACATATTACGATTCGAGCAATAGCGTGACAATACAATGAAGCATCCTAAAACTACAAATTCGATCAGTGATAAAGAAATATAATAGAACACAACACCCAACACAATCAGAACGATTATTATGTAACTCATTACGTTCGACAGCCAAATTTAAGAACTGAAACCAAAGCCTATCCACATGTCTTGAACAAAAAACCTGTGAGTTATTAGAATGATGTATCAATCCATCCCACAAACGCGATCAACGATTGAAGGTTTACGAAACAATGGTACCTTAATCTTTCGTGTCCACCACTTATCAGAGGTGCCAGTCTTCACAGTTGACGGGTCATATGATATGCCACTGCAGTTCAACAATTCTTCAAATCGCTTGTGTTTCATGCGGAGGGCATCCTAATGATTTTTTAGTTGTTGTTTGTTCCAATTGTGCCCGAAATTGGTGTTGAACAAGTGAATTAATGTCTCACAACCGTGTTTTTGGTGAAGCACTTTCCATTCCTATGTCCGTCAGCGATAACCGACTCACAGGCAGTGACGAATATGTTCGTCTCATGTGAATTCCAATGTGCATTCTTACGGGGCACCTGCTGGTTTTGAACAGATGACCCAGTTTTAAACATTCTTATGTTCACGTAGTAGTAAGTCTGTATAGTATACAGTTAAAATGGAATGTCGATCAGAAGCACTTCTAGTAATGAATCATTTTTCAAGTATTTCACTACAAAGTAAAAAGAATGAAAAGGGTGTTGACATATCGGATTAGAGAACGAGTCCATGGTTTAATTTCGTAGCACTGTAGTGGTGGAGGAGCAAAGACGAGCAGGGTGGAAATCTCGTTTGACGCGAACGGGTTACGTGTCTGAAGAATGACCACCGAAAAATGAAGGAGCGGGAGTTGCGGTGGAGGCAGTGGGTGTTACGCCTGGGTTCTCCAGTGTGATATTTTAGTTGTTGCCGGCGAGTATCGTCTTTGGGTGAGTTTAGATCCTTTGTTCAAGTGGCTGTCCCTTTCCGTCCTCACGACCAGCTGGAAATCGAAGGTTGAAGATCTTCTTCTTTTGCCTCAGTCATCGTCCTTTTTTTTTCAAATTACAGTCGACGAGATTCCAGTGGATAGCAAGACAAATGAAGGGGAAGAAAGCAATTAGGTACTGCTATGGAAGAAAGCAATTGGGTATTTTTAGTGGAAGAAATTATGGTAGGTGGGAATTGGAGTAGAAATTATGCCTAATGTATGTGGAGGGTAGAATTTGGAAAGTGGACTGACATTGCTGTGTTTGCAGTTTTTGTTTTTGGACCATTGCACAATCCAACAGTCCAATTTCCAATTTCAAGCAAATTTAAAGCGGGCCGAGACAGGCCCCGTGTATAAAATGGTATGTTTGTAATGATCAATTTAAGTAATGAAAGATATCTTCATCTTCCTCAGTTTTTAATTTGGTATTAGAGCCAACATGGCTAACACCAGATTCGAAAATCAGTCCAATCGATCAGAATTCAATACAACTCCAGCTACTCAAGCTGCTGCTGGCCAGAACTTGGCATATGGAATGAATATCACTCAAACACCCTCAGTTAAACTCGACAAGAATAATTTTCTACTATAGAAGAACATGATTATACCCATAATCAAAGGGCATAACCTTGAAGGATATCTATTGGGGACAAATGAGTGTCCACCTAAGTTTCTGGCCACCCAAACTACAGTCAGCCAGGGAAAAGCAGTCGAAATGACCCAAAACCCAGAGTTTCTAAAGTGGAACTCAACTGATCGGCTCCTTATGGGATGGTTGTATTCTTCTATAACTCTAGAAATCGCCATGAAGGTGATGGGCTGCACTAGTTCGAACAAACTCTAGGTAGCAGTGGAGGAGAGCTTTGGAATACTCAACAGATCTCGTGTGATGTTCCTAACTGGTAAGCTGCAACAAACTAGGAAAGGATCCATGACAATGGATCAGTATTTAACAACCATCAAACAATTGGCTGACAATCTGGAAATAGCTGGTAAGTTCATTGATCAAAGTGACTTAATCACACAATATTATCAGGATTAGATGATGAATATACTCCAATAGTGGTTCAGATAAGTAGCAGAGAGACAATTTCCTGGTATGACTTATCTTCAGTACTGATGACTTCTGAAAGTCGACTTGAACATTTGAATCAAGTAAAGAACAACTTGACTCACTTAATGTTAATCAGTCCAGTGTTCAGTTAGCACATCGAACTGGCTCAAGCTTTGGAAGATGCTTTAGAGGTAGATCACCAAGCTATAGAGGCGGAATAAGAGGCGAAGGTAGAACTACAATTGGAAGGTAAACTGAAGCCAGAGGGCCATGCCAAATCTGCTGTCTGAGTAACCACTCAACGAGCTGGTGCTACAACAGGTTTGATGAGAGATACATGGGGAACAAACCAACTAACTCTGGACAGCAAAATTTTAACTTAGCCCCCTCAGCCTATGTAGCATTACCCAGAGTTCTTGAAGATCCAGCGTGGTTTGTTGATTTCGGAGCTAGCAACGACGAGACATCAGACAAAGGTAACCTTAATATTGGGAAGAGATATGAAGGTAAAGAGAGATTACTTGTTGGTAATGGAGATATGCTAAAAATTGCTCATATTGGAAGTGGTAAAATTTCTACGCTCAATAATAAATCACTTGATTGAAATAAGCTGTCACACATTCCTTCAATCAAACGAAACTTGATCAGTGTTTCACAACTCACTAATGACAATAGTATATTCATGGAATTCTATGATAAATGTTGTGTTGTTAAAGATCTTCGAATGAAGAGGACCCTGCTGCAAGGAATACTTAAGGATGGATTGTACAAGCTGAAATTGCCAGACATCAAGCCATAAAGAACCTCCTTTGAGTCAGACCACCAAACTAAACACCAGTGTTTTGCAGTCAAACCGAATAGCAATAAATTGCCCTCAGCCAAACAAATTCAGAAACTGAATTTGACCTTTGGCATAGAAGGCTAGGACACCCTTCAAACCTTGCGATGAGTCAAGTTTTTAAGTCCTGTAATAGAGTTATTAAAGCTAATAAAATCTCAAATTTCTGTGATGCTTTCAAATTTGGAAAATCTCATGCTCTCCCATTCAATACCTTACTTTCACAGAACTTATCCACACCGATGTTTGGGGACCATTGCCTTTAAATTCAACTACAAGATTTAGATACTATATAATATTTGTAGATGACCATAGCCGGTACACATGGATCTACCCTATGAAACATAAATCAGAAGCCTTAACTACATTTGTTCAATTCAAAAACCTTGTAGAAAACAAGTTTGATAGGAAGATTAAATTACTGCAATCTGATTGGGGTGGAGAATTCAGAAATTTCAACAAACTGGCTCTAGAATTCGGCATAGAACTTAGGCATTCTTGCCCTTATACTTCAGTTCAAAATGGAAAAGCTGAATGCAATCACAAGCACATCATAGAGACTGGGCTAACCCTCTTGGCTCAAGCTAAAATGCCACTTTATTAATGGTGGGAGTCCTTAAAGGCTGCCACTTACTTGATAAACAAGTTACATATCCCCATCATGGAATATAAATCACCCTACCAAGCCATATTTAATAAAGACTTCGACTACAGCTTAAAACATTTGGTTGTGCTTGCTTTCCATGTCTTATACCTTATCAGAAGCATAAATTTAGCTTTCACTCACAAAAATGTGTTTACCTTGGCTATGGTGATACTCACAAAGGTTATAAGTGTCTAAGTTCCAGTGGTAGGATTTATATATCAAGGCATGTTGTCTTTAATGAGCAAGATTTCCCTTTCATGACATCATTCTTAAATAAGCAAACTCAGTCTCAAACCTGTGGTATTGAAATAAGCTATCTCCCTTTCATTGATCCCAACCATAATTCCATGTCCCAAAGTGCAATTGCAGCTTCTAGAATACAACATGAGGTCTCCTCTACAACAGACCTTGCTGGTGGAGATACTGGAACTGAGGCTGAAGGAGTTGTGATGGCAGAGCCTCTTAATGTTGAGGTAAATCAAGAGGTAGTAATAGATACGGGAACGTCAGAAACTCAACAAGCTAGACCTGATGCTCAAAATATGGTAAATGAAGCAACACCTCAGAATCCAGGACATCGGATGGTTACCGGAGCAAGGCTGGAATTTTCAAACCTAAAGTTTATACTAGTACGGCAGTAGATGAAATGACTGAAATTGAGCCAACTAATGCTGCTGAAGTACCAACAAGCTGTAGCTAGAAACAAGTTATGCAGGAAGAGTACAATGCTCTGATGAAGAATGAAACAAGGAGTTTGGTTTCACCTAAGGCTGGAATGAAGATGATTGGCAATAAGTGGGTGTTTAAACTGAAGCATGATGCAAATGGAAAGGTTGTATGGCACAAGGCCAGGCTTATGGCCAAAGGTTTTCTTCAAACCTCTGGAGTTGATTTTAGTGAGACATTTAGCCCAATGATCAAGGCTGCAACCCTTAAAATAATTTTGACTTTTGCTGTATCAAGAAACTGGCAAATCAGGCAAGTTGATATAAACGATGCATTTCTGAATGGTAGTCTGAATGCGGTTGTCTATATGAGCAAGCCATAGGGTTTTGTTAGTGAAAACCATCATGGTTATGTCTGCAAACTCAAGAAGGCCCTATATGGCTTAAGACAAGCACCTAGGGCATGGAATGACAAGCTAAAACAGACCTCACTGCAGTGGAACTTCAAATAGTTAAAGGTCGATAACTCCCTATTCTTCCTGACTACAAATGCTGATATACTATTTACCTTGTTATATGTAGATGATATAGTGATTACAGGTAGCAATAATTAGCAGTTACAAGAATTCATAGACAAACTAAACTTCAGTTTTCCGCTTAAGGACTTGGGAAATCTGAAACAATTTCTGGGAATAGAGGTTAAAAGAAATGAAGTTGGATACATTTGAGAGTTTGATCTATACGGTAACTACTGCTAAAAAGGTATGGCTATGAGAACTTAAAGCCTAGCCTAACACATATGGCTGTGGGGAGACCGATTTCCAAAGATGAGGAGAGAGTAATGGAATATCCTACTCTATATAGAAATGATGTAGGTGGTCTACAATATCTAATCCACACTAGATGAGACTTAACCTATGCTGTAAATAGGTTAAGCCAGTATCTTCAGACTCCAACGGACGTTCATTGGAATGCTCTCAAGAGGGTATTCAGATACCTGCAAGGCACATTGAACTTTGGACTAACCATTCAAAGAAATGACAGCTTGGACATCACAGCCTTCACAGACACTGACTTGGCTTTTTGTCCAGATGATAGGAGATCTACTGACGGATATTGTGTGTATATTGGTGACAAATTGGTGTCATGGTGCTCGAAGAAACAGCATGTGGTATCCAGGTCCAGCATAGAGGCCAAGTACAGAGCTACTACCGGGCTGGACCTGACCACCATGGCAGGTGGCTTGACGGCAGCTTATTATATAGATTTTGTGATGAATTCTTCTATGGTGGACAATGCCAACCCAATAACTGTTCAGTTTGGACCGATGAATGAAAATACTGGTGCAAGAAATGCAATTCTCAATGGTCTTGAGGTTTTTAGAATGAACAATTCGGTTAGTAGCCTGGATGGAGAATATGGTGTTGATGGGAAGTCGGCTGATGGGCCAAGTCGTGGTACAGTGGCTGCTGTTGGATTTGCAATAATGTTTGGAACATTTGTCGGTTTAGGTATAATAGCTGTTAAGTGGCAAAAAGGGCCACAAGATTGGCAGCAAAATCATAGCTTTTCGTCTTGGTTACTTCCACTCCATGCTGGAGACACGAGCTCCATGTCAAACATCAAGACTTCTTTAGGTTCTTGTAAAAGCCAATTCTTCTCGTCTACTTCCAAATTAGGCCTATACTTTTATTTAGCAGAGTTGCAGGAGGCAACCAAGAACTGGGATCCAAATGCAATAATTGGTGTTGGTGGATTTGTCAATGTATATATAGGAGAAATCAATGATGGAATGAAGGTGGCCATTAAACGAGGAAATCCACAGTCTGAACAAGGGATTAATGAGTTCCAGACGGAGATTCAAATGTTGTCCAAGCTTAGACATCGCCATTTGGTGTCTTTGATTGGGTATTGTGATGAAAATTCGGAGATGATTCTGGTTTATGAATACATGTCCAATAGTCCTTTCCATGACCATATTTATGGGAAGGATTTTCCACCCCTATCTTGGAAGCAAAGGCTCGAAATATGTATCGAGGCTGCTTGTGGGCTCTACTACCTGCATACTGGCATAGCTTAAGGCATCACTCATCGCGATGTCAGGACTACGAACATCCTGTTGGATGAAGATTTCACAGCAAAGATGGCTGATTTCGGGCTGTCTAAAGATGGTGCAACATGCGGTGATCAAAATCACGTGAGCACGGCTGTAAAAGGAAGCTTCGAGTACCTTAACACGAGTACTTCAGGAAACAGCATCTCACAGATAAGTGTGACGTGTACTCATTCGGGGTCTTCTTATTCGAGGTCTTATGCATTCGTCCTGCCATCAACCCTGCATTGCCAAGAGAGCAAGTCAACTTGGCAGAATGGGCGAAGCAATGGAAGTGAAAATGTCTATTAGACAAAATCATCGATCCCACACAAATCGGGCACATCAACACTGACTCCATGACTAAATACATAGAAGCTGCCGAGAAATGTTTGGTTGAATATAGGGTCGATCGGCCTAGTATGGGAGACGTGTTGTGGAACTTGGAGTATTCTTTGCAACTTCAAAAAGCCTCATCCCAAGGAACGAATGACGGAGAAAATAAGGCATTAGCCACCACAGCCTCTCCTCATATAGTCTCTCCGGCCGCTTCTATTGTAGACAATCAGCCCCTTTCTCTACCCGTGGAAAGTAACAACCCTGCTGAAGTCACTGAGCACTCAAGAATGGCAATGTTTGCGCAATTTGCGTCACTTAGTGGGCGATAATCGAGCATTTGATTAAATGATTGAACATAAATCTAGATGTTACATACACAATTACCATATTAAAGTTGTAAGTATTCACAGCATCAAGTAGCTATGGCTTATCTGCCATTTCTTCTATATGAATTGATTGATCTGTGTTATAGAGTGTAGTTTAAGAAATTTAATGGTAGATGTAAATATTGTTGTCATTAAATTTTGTGGCATCCTCTTCTCATTAACCATAGTACTCACTAGTAGCATAAACTGACCATTTTTCTTGTGCACATCAATGAAATCAGCTTTCGAGAAAAGAAACTGAAAATGATCGTCAACAGAATTATAAACCAATATATGAAAATCCCCATAATTACTTTTCCTCTTATGATTGAAAAATCAGAAGATATTTTTGAACCTGCAGAGAGCAAAAATAAAAATCATTCTGTCTGCTGCAAAAACTGGGCTACTTTTTTAGGAAGTATTTCTCTTCCAAGAAAAATAATTAAACAAGATACTTTTAAGCATAGCCAAACGTGCTGTTTAATTTCCATGAAGAAAATGAATACTCATCGATATGATAAAATAGTCTTTCTTTCAATTTTATTATAAAATAGTCGACGGAAATTGTGCAAATGTAAATTTAACTTTTAATGACAACCTTTCACAGTAGTTCAGGCATGAAAAATTGTCTATGCTTCTCTTTTTTTACAGTTGAAACTTGAAATTGAGAATTTTCGGTTAAACCATTCACAACGTAGGTCAGACATGAAATATATCGTCAAGAGAAAATTGGTAAAGTAACAATTTTCGTTTCTTAGATATTATAAAACTGCTTTGAAACACAATGGACACGTAGTTAAAGGTGGCAAACAGGCCAGGTGGCTCGTCGGCTGGCCACTCGGCTCGTGGGCTACTCGAGCTCGTCATTTGACTGCTCGGGTTCACACTTACGGCTCGTGGGTGAGCCAACGAGCTCTCCCACGAGCCGGGCTTGTGGGATCGCTATTTTGTTTCAGTGGCCATTCTGAAAAAATTCTACTTAAACGGTCATTGAACTTAAATAGTGACCAAAACGGTCACTGAAGTTAATTTTTTTCCTATAAATACCCATTCCATTCCCTTTTTTTTCACCCAACTCTCACTCCCTATTCTCTAATCTCTTCTACATTTTACATTATAATCTTGATTTTAAAATATATCTTCTAGACTACTACATAGTTTACATTCATTCTCAATTCTACTTCTACATTTAATTTCAATTATTCAATATCAATTATCACACTACAAATTTTCAATTACAATCTTACACATCAACTTTCTTTCAATTCTTGATTTGTTACTATACATTTTATATCAATTCACAAATGGATCTACGCACATTTGTTGAAGGCTTGTTTGGTATCGGAGGTGAATCACCTATCACGCCGTAAAGTCAATTTCAGAATGAATTCGTCGATCTAAACGAAGTTCCTATTCCTGAATATATTCTGAATTTCGATACTCATGAAAGTAGTAATTTAATTGATTTTGATGATGTTGATGTTTTCGAGGCGAAATGGGAGGATGAACATAAATTATATATTCCCGTTGCAAGAGGGAAGCGAAAGGGGAAAAATAGATAAAATGTTGGGATCATTTTAAATTTATTCAAATAGGTCGTGTGGTCGATGGAGTTGCAAAATCTAAAGTAGTGTGTAAATACTGTCAATAACGATTGGCATGGCAAAAAGGCATTAGTGCAAATGCATGTAGTTCCTATAGTAGTTGTTTCTCTACCGCATGTAATCAAACATTGGACGCAAGTCCAAATACGTTGCCTACTGAATTAATTGATTACTTTAATCATGATATGCCTAGTAACAAAACAATTAAGAAAAGTTCAAAAGAAGTAATTGAATTCTGGTCAAAGTACGAACGACGATGCCCAGTGATTTTTGCGATAGCAAAAGACATACTAACACCTCCGGTTAGCACTGTAGCTTCGGGTCTGCATTTACTGCATGTAAGAGAATTCTGTCCGAGGTCAAGAGCTAATTGAAAGAAAATATTTTGAAAGCATTAACGTGCGTGACAGATTGGCAAGACGGTCATTTTTTACTACAAGATAAATACGTCGAAATTGCATGTCGTCAAGTAAGTTATATTTAATTTAACCATACTAATCAAAAATTGTTATTTTATAATATCTTTTTAATTTTTTAAAAAAATTGTAGATATAAAAAGTTATTCGTATACAATTTTTAACTCCATCTACTCGAAATTGAAGTAATTGATCCTAAACCCGGATAAAGGATGAGGCTTATCTTTTAAAAAAAATTAAAGAAAAAGGTTTCTTATAAAAAAAACACGAGCTCGTGAGCCAAAGCTCGGCTCGCGGGTGCTCGAGTGCCCGGTTCGGACAAGTAACGAGCCTAGCCGAGCTCGTGATGAGTGCTCTGTTCGGCCCCATTGCCACCTCTACGCATAGCCAATGTGCATTGTTTGACAGATCTAAAGAAACAAGAACAACATGATAAAAAGAAGAGGAAGCAACAATCGGATAGGTAGGCTGTGCAGGCTAATCCGTTATACCACAGAGTGCAAAGTAGTGAACAATGTGCTACACCTATATATGGCATATAGATCTATGTTGAAAGTAGAGATGGCAATGGGACGGGTTCAGGGCAGGGCACCCCGTCCCGCCCCGTGTCCCGTTTCCTACCCCGTTTATTATTATTATTTTTTTTCAAAAACTTCTAATCAACTATTTTTTGTTTTTAATTTGTAATTAATTATTATTATTTTTTTCACGGGCCGGGTTCGAGGTGCTTCGGGGCGGGGCACCCCCTCCCAGCCCACCCCACCAACCCGTCGGGGCGGGGCGGGGCAGGGCAGGGCGGATTTTTTTGCCATCACTAGTTGAAAGAGGAAGACACATTAAATTTATTTATTATTTTTTCCCCTTTTTTATTATATAATTCATTGGGGTCGACAATTGAGTCACTATATTGCATTACCAGAATCCATTTAGTATATTTGAAAGAGGTTGAATTCATTGCTTCTGTGGTTTACCTTCTCAATTTTGTGTAAAAAGTTAGGTGAAATATTCTGTTGGAATAAAATTAAGGAAAAAAACTAGCTAGTGCTTCCTCCTCTTCTTGCTCATATCAGAATTCTCATCTTTTTAAGCATGACTACATCGCTCTTGCTATTGATAGAACACAACATTGTTCTTCCTCGAGATTACACCAACCTCATAAAGAAGGGCCGATCCATTCAAAGGCGAATTCTTGCCAAGCTTTGCTTTCGTAATCTTGTCAATAATGTCCCAATGCTTAGAGCGATGTGTATTAATCTCGAGATCCAAACGTGTCAACTTGCAAACATATAGCAAAAAAATACAGGCAGCAAATGTTCAACCAATCATAATGCAGTTGGGTCCGTCAACACTAAACTGAGTACAAGAGTAAAAAGGAACAGACAGATTTAAGGGGGAAAAAGAGGATTCAGACCAAACCACAGAACATACAGTACGATCTGTTTGGCTCAAACGGCTCTACTGGCGTAAGAAACATCTTTCTTGAAGGATGCTCAAGACAATAAGTCATCCTGCAGGCACAAGCAGAGCTAAAATGTCAATATCACCAAAGAATTACCCGCAACCACCACCACCACCCCCCAAAAAAGGGCCCAAATAATTATAAACTTCTACTTTATTTCTTATCTGTTGGGTATTGTTGGACTTGCATAACTAAAAATGCGCGAAACTGGGCGTGAAGTAGAGTATGAATAGTGATAGATAATAGGACCTACCGATAGTTTTTAGTATCATGTCGCATCACCTTGATCTCCTCAAATCACAAATAAGCCAGCAATGATGGTGTTTCGCGCGGGTTTGCTCGTTAACAATTAAAAGGGATCAGACGATTGTGTAAGGGACAAACCTCTTGGAATAAAGTCCCAAAAAAGGGGTGTTTATTGAATATAAAGATTACAGTTTGAACACGAACAAGATGCCTCCAAGGGGTGCAAGCACACAAGTACAAGGGAATTGAAGTAATTAAAAGTTAATCTAAGAAAAGTAAATTACATGTTTTCTGTTTGAGAGTGAATTTTTTCAGGCTTGTCTTCGTTGTCTTCCTCTTTCTTTTATACGGTTTGGACAGTTTTGATCGTTTAGAAACTGCTTGTAACTACCCATTTCTTTCATCATGGTCGGCTGGCCAATAACTACCGTGTGCAACTCCTATCAC